ACACAAAATAAAAAATATTTGATATTCCAAATGTCTGTACAATGGATATTCAATCACACTTTGTTTTATATTGTCTGTGAAAATCATTTCAATATAATCAATAATAATGGTGCATCGTCAAGAACCATGCCAAAATCTTACTTTCGAAATATTGGGGTAAACGCGCTCACACCTGATTACATAAAAAAATCGCAACAATCACACGACGGGGTGGCCCGGTGGCCTGGTGGCTAAAGCTCCCGCTTCACACACGGAGAGCCCGGGTTCGATTCCCGGCGGGTGGAAAAATTTCGACACGTTTCCTTACACCTGTTGTCCTGTTCACCTAGCAGCAAATAGGTACCTGGGTGTTAGTCGACTGGTGTGGGTCGCATCCTGGGGGACAAGATTAAGGACCCCAATGGAAATAAGTTAGACAGTCCTCGATGACGCACAAAACTTTTTTTGGGGTTACCCTGGGGGGGCAAACCCCCCTTTTTAAAAAAATCCGAACGAAATCTTTTTTTCTTATCTTTTTTTGGTTTCTTGCAATATAAGTGATTTCATATTTTTTCCCCCCTTGTTATTATAGTTTTTTTTAAAGTACGAGAAAAAAGGGGAAAAAAAACAAAAAAAGGGTTTCCCTTTTTGTCGGGGATTTTAATAAATCATGCCCGCGAGCCAAAAACCCCAAATTTCAATCAATCAAGTTTTTTCTCTAAAAAGGGATTACAATGCGGGGTTTCTTTATTATGGGGAAAATGGGTGGTTTACAATTAAAAAAATAATAATCACAGAGGGGGGCCACTACCACCCTACCCATGACGAGGCATTTGGGCAGAAAAGATTAATTCAAGCTCAAAATTTTGGGTTTACAGATTATGGAACTTTGCGGGTATTAAGGAAAGGGTTTAACGCATTCCCAGTTCGAAAAATTTAGAGAAAAAATTGGTTTTTTTTCTTGGTATGATACTTAGTTTCAAATTGAAGCTCCTATTTTGGAGTTCACGGGGAAAAAAAATGACTATTTTAAAAGATTCAAGGTAATATTTTTATTACGTTTTTGTATGTAAAAAAGTAAATTTGGGGTGATTTTAAAAAGTGTAAAAGGTGGGGAATAAAACAGATATCGGGGGGGAGGTCTAGGTTGTTTTTAGTTTGTGAAAACCCAAGAGAAAAATTTGATTTTCATGTAGTTGCTGACGGTGGGGTTTGTGTAAAGGTTAGATAAAAATTTAGTTTTTGGGCCACCGAATGGGTTTTTAAAATTGGGCCCCCCCTTACCCAATCCTGTGGAGGGGTGGGCGCAAGACATATTGGTACACAAAAGGCCTAGGAACTGGGCCCCAAAAGGGGGTTTAACATTTCCCTAATGGTTTTTTTTTTTATAAAAAATTTTTGGGTTTTCATTTTATCAATTCAAGACTTCTTAAAAACCCACTTACTCACCCAAAACTAAATAAATTTTTGAAAAAACTGAATTTCATAAAAGTGAAACCCTGTGCCCCAATAAAACTATGTTTTTTTAATTAAAATTCCAAATAGAAAAAATTCCATTTTTTGAAGGGCGCAGTAACCCCATCTAATGCCCATGTGACCGTTTTTTTGCACTACAAATAGTATTTGATATAGTATATTTTTAAATTTTGTTAAATTTTACATTGTTATGCTAAAAATTTGTAAAAAACAATTTCATTTTTTAAAAAATTTCCTTTTTTTGTATTCATGTTTTATTTTGTTTTTTGAATTTTTTTCCACTGAATAAATGTTGTTTTAGTTAATATTAATTTAATTTTTAACCTCCCCAAAAATGTCTGCTTTAAAAAAGGGGCTTTTGGCATGTACCCCCAAACTTTAATTCCTTGTAAAAACTATGAATCATGTCCAAATAAAGTACCCCCTACATTTTTGGGGGTTTTTTTCAGAAAACTTTGCTGGGGGCAAAAAAAGGGAAAACCCCTTTCCCGGCCCCACCTTTTTTTGGGAAAAAGCATTAAAAACTCGGGCCCCAGGCAAGGGTTTAAATTCAAGTTTTAGAAGTTGTTTTTTTTTTTAAATTTCAGTTCTTGAAGAACTTTGTTTAATTCCCGGGAAAATTGGTAGATACGTATGTAGAAAATTTTTTCGATATAATACCAAATATAAGTTCCCAAATTTGGGACACCAAAAAAATAAAACGTAATCGGTTGAAAAAAAAAAGGGGGTCGAAAAATAAAAGGGTTATCCCCCCCCATCTCCTCGTAGGACAAACCTCTTAGCTTGGGACTATTTCTTGTTGCAAACCTTTGCATTTTTCCTAGTTTTTTTAACGTGCTTGGCTAGGTGGGGTTCCAAAAAATTGCCGCATACTCCAAAATGGGCCAAACGAAGACGATGTACGGGGCCCCCTGAACGTTTCCCTTTATTAAGATGTGGGAAATTCCCTTTCTGGGTTTGCTGGGGCGCCCATATGCTGCAGCAGTTTTTTTGGTTGATGTGCGCTTCAGATGTGCCGGTGTTAACCCAACCCCAAGTTTTTTTTCCTTGAGGGGGGGTTTGTAGTGTGGGGGTGTTTTTATGTGTGTTGTTGTGGGGTTGTGTGTGTTTTTTTTACTCACCAAATTGACTCACCAAATTGGGTGGTTACAGGGGGGGGAAGCCCTCAGCCCCGGGCCCCCGTCTCTTCACTGTTTCGTTACTGGGCCTCTCTCTCTGTTTCCCTTAGCTTTTTTTCATCCCTCTTCAAAAAAACTATGTATGGTTCCTGCCTCCACTACTTCACTTGTGGGCTATTCCACTTGCGGGACAACTCTAGACTGAAAAAATTTCTTCCTAACGCCCCCTGTAAATTCTGGTTTTCCCAGTTTCCCCATTGTGACCCCTTTTTTCCTGTTCCCCTCTCTGGAACATCCCATCTTTTGGGCCACCTTGTCCATTTCCCCCCAGGTTTTCTTGTATGTCCCTTTTTAAATTTCCCCCTGACCCTTCTGTCCTCCGTGTCGTCAGTCCGGAATTTTCCCCTTAAAAACCCTTTTCCCCGTACGAAATTCCCTTTTGTGTACTTTACCTTTTTTTACCACCAAATTTTTTGGTTGCAGGGGTTAAGTCTTAGCTTTCCCGGGCCCCCCCTCTCAAACCCGGGTTCTATGGGGCCCCCTCTCTCCCCGCTCCCGAGCTTTATCAAAAACCTCGTCTTAAAAAGTGTATGGGGTTTCCCGCCTCCACTACGTCTTTTCCAAAGGGTATTCCCCTGCCTTAAAAACTCTATACTGAAGAAATACTTCCTACAAAAACCCCTGGCTCCCTTTGTGTCTTTAACTTCCCAAATTTTGGGCCCCTTGTTTCTGGGGTCCCCCCCCTGGAACATCCCGTCCTTTTTCCACCTTTTCTTTTTCCCCCGCATTTTTTTATATGTCGTTATCCTGTTTTCCCCCGACCCCCCCGTCCCCATGTCCCTCAGGGGGGGGGGGGGCCGATTTCCCTTTAAACTTTCTTCATAGGACATTCCCCCCAGCTCGGGAATAACCTTGTTTTTAAAACCCTTTTTTAAATTTCTTTTATTTCTTGGGCGTGCTTTATCAAATGCGGGTTCCAAAGGTGCTGCATACTCCAGTATGGGCCCGACTTTCACGGTTTTACAGTGTCTTGAATTTATTCCTTACAAAAGGGGTTTGGAATGCTGTTTTTCAAAGGGTTTTCCCCGGCCCCCCCATATGCGCAGCATTATCGGGTTGAAGTTTGCTTTTCCCGGGGAAAATGCCGGTGTTATAAATCACCCCAAATCTTTCTTCCCGGGTGAGGTTTGCAGTCTTTGGCCACCTTGCCCATACCCTTTGTGGTCTTTTTGTGCCCCCCCCCCTTTTTTCATGACTTTTCATTTGGCCGGAAATTTAAATTCGAGAAAACCCTTTGCTGGACCAGGTGTTTCCCGTCTTTCCCGGTCTCTTTGAAATCCTGCCTGGATTTTAAATTTTCCTCCTTTTTCTTCCATCATCTTCAAACAGGGCACTTCGGGGTCTAAACCCTTCCTCAGTTTGTTCACAAATACCAAAAATAGCACTGGTCCTAGGACCGACCCCTTTGGGGACCCCCCCCCCGCACAGGTGCCCATGTGATACATCATTACGACCAAGACCCCGTTTTTTGCCTCCCTTCAGGTAATTTTCTGACCATTTTCAGGCCCTTCCCGTTATATGCGCCTGTGAAAGCTCAGCTTTGCCTAAAACTCTTGTGAGGAACTGTGTCAAAGGCCCCTTTTTGCAGTCCCAAAAAGATGAATCCCAAACCCCCCCCTCTCTCTCTTTTCTTTTCTTTTTTGTTATTTTATTTATAAAAAATCCCAAAAGGTTTTTGACACGGATTTGGGCCCTTTCCCCCAATCCGTGTGGTTTTTTGGGTTTTTTCCTTTTTGTTGGTGTTTTTGTTTTTTTTTTGTTTGTTGGGTTTGTTGTGTTTTTTGCTCCCTTTTTTTGTTTTGGTTTATTGTGTTTGGGGTTTGGGTTTTTTGGTTTTGGGGTTTTGGTTGGGTCCCCCTTTGGACCCGTGGGGTGGCCGGCCCATTTTAGGTTTTTCGGCCCCGTTTCTTACCCCGGGTTAAACCCGTTTTATTTTGGGCCAAAACGGGCCCCGCCTGGGTGGTTCCCTTTTGCCCAAATCTTGTCCACGTAAAAACTTCCTTAAATCCCCTTTATTTTCCAAACCCCAAAGTTTCTTTGAAACCCTTTTTAACCTTTTTGGTTAAAAATTTTCCTTCCCCCTTTAAAAAAAAAATTGGAAAAAGTTTTTGGGGGAGGGGGTTTTGGGTTTTCAAACGGCTTTTTAAGTAGGGTCCCTATATTTTCCAAACCTTTTTTTCCACTTTTCCGAGGCTATGGGTCCCACAATTTACACCAGAGGTGGACCCCATTATATTTATATATATATATATATATATATATATATATATATAATATATATATATATATATATAATATATATATATATAATATATAGATATATATATATATATATATATATATATATATATAGTTTTTATATACTAGAAGTGAAAGGAAATAAAATAATTTGTACCCTGTTAATAACTATATAGAAATAAAAATATACGTTCATCACATCAATAGATTAGTAAGGAAACTGTCGTGATCCATATCAGCGTCCATGGCGGGGGAGAGGCTAGGGAAGGGCAGTGTGTCCTGAGAGAGGGCAGTGTGGGGGCGGCACTCCCCCTGTAGGCGACCATGCTGGGGGTCCACTAGGGCGTGTAGGAAGGCCATAGAGAGTGGGTCCTGTCCACCCTGAGCCACACTACTGTTGGTCTTGTTACTAGTAGACTTAGTCTTGCAAGGAGATCGCTTGCCGTCTGGATGAGAGAGCACGCTGTCACACGATATTGCTGCCAGGTCGATGGTCTCTAGTGGTGTCTTCATTCTGGTGGACATGTTGGGATGGTGGGTAGGGGGCACGCTAGAGGGGTCACTCTGTCCCGACCTGCCTCCCATGGGTCCCTCAAGAAGCATGGGGGACCCGCCGCGCCCCACACACGTCCCACCCATCACTCCGAAGCTGGGGGACGGAATTCCAACCTGGGGATATGAACAGCATTGTAATACCTTTTTTAAGTACATATGATGAATATGCTAATAATAATAATAATAATAATAATAATAATAATAATAATAATAATAATAATAATAATAATAATAATAATAATAATAATAATAAAGCTTTTTCTTCATTACTCTTGTAAATTCTTTAATTGTTTCTCTCCTCAAAGACGATGCCTCGATGCTAGTGAAGCGCTCATGACCAAAGGAATTTTACTTATCTTCCTTTTCTTATATCGAACCTTATTGACTCGCAGTACCTGGAGGTTTCGAGGGTCAACGCCCCCACGACTCGGTCCGTGACCAGGCTTCGCGGTGTATCAGGTCCTGATTAGCTAAACTGTTACTGGTGGCCGCACGTCAACCGACATACGAACCACAGCACGGCTGGTCAGGTATTGACTTTAGGTGCCTGTCCAGCTTCTTCAAGGTAGCCAGTGGTCTATTGGTAATCCCCCTTTTGTATGCTGAAAGGCAGTTGAACATTCTTGGGCCTATCACACTTACGTGTTGTCTCGTGGCGTACTTGTGGCACCCTTACTTTTCATTGAGGGGATGTTGTATCTCCTGCCTAGTCTATTGCTTTCATAGATTAGATTTTGCCACCGAAGTGGCTAGTTTATTGTGCACCCCATATCCATCCTGTGGACGGTAGCGCGAGAGCATATGGATACACAAAAGGCCTAGGAACTAGGCCCCAAAAGGGTTAACAGGAATACATATGGATTTATATCTACATATCTATAGTTCATTTATCTGTTACAAGCAAATTTAGGAAATTTGCTTAGTATATCTGGTATCTTATTTTCATTAATAAGATATCTTGACATGTCACATAGGTTATTATACTGTCTGTCTCTGTATTCCACAATAAGTGGACAATTAAGCACATAGTGTTCAAGAGAGTGACCATATGCCTGATCACATAATTTACATTTAGTTTGATCATCATCTGTGTGTCTCCCAAACTGCCAGAAGTACTTGTAACCAGCCTAAGCTGGCCACTACAACATCAGTCAGTCTGTTCACATTGCAAGTTGCTCCATAAACATACTTATCTACGTTCATGTTATCATAGTGGGTTATAGATCTACTCAGGCTTCTAACTGCATTCCTATAACAATCATTTTCATTATTTACTTTCTCCTAATATTATTCCTAATGCTAGACACTGTTATACCAAAGTTATATTCTACATTCTCCTTCTGGATACTCTTCTTGGCTAACATATCAACTTTATCATGAAGGAGTAATCCAATGTGTGATGGGATCCATAGCAATTGTACATTAATTCCTTTGTCCCTAATTTTTGAGTATCTATACCTGGCTTCCCCAATGAGCATGTTGTTGGAGTCATTATATGAGTCAAGAGCCTTCAATGATGACATAGAATCAGTAATGATGACAGAGTCAAGCTCAGTGTCATAGGTTAGCTTTAGCGCCATTAGGATTGCAAACAATTCAGTTTGCAGTGTAGACGCCCAGTTGTTAATTCTTATGCCTAACTCAACAAATTTATTATCGTTCTTAACTAGGGAGGTGGCAACAAGAGCAGATGCAGCCCTGCCAGAAGACTCCTGTTTAGATCCATCAGTGTATATAACTTGTGATAACTTATTACTACCGGCTAGGTGAGAAATTTCTTCTTGAGCAGTTGCTCTAACAAGAGATTTAAGGAAGGGATTACTAGCAATGAGCTTCTTGGGAGGGACTTGTAGGTATGTGATATTATATGAACACATCTTCCATGGAGGGGTGAAATGTTCTTGTTGCCTACAGTGATACAGTTCATGTAGGTTATAAAACTTAATGCAATTTAATATGAAGTGATTTCCGTGTGCAGATCTGGGACTAGTCGTTCTAGGATTTTTCAAGTGTATATTATCATGTATCTTTCTCGCCTGGATTCCTAGGAGTGAAAATTAAGGGACTTCAACCG